GATGCCGTTCAAAGCAGAAACCCTCTTAATGATCGATCCTAGATGACGTCGTAGTGGTACACAATTTTTCGGTCGGGATATTTAGTTTGGGTCTAACAAAGGTAATTAATTCCTTTGAATATGCAGAAAGTGATTATTTTTTTGCACTATCCGTGTACATGCAGAACCATGACGATTCTTATGATCCAGTTCAAGAACACAGATAAGCGATAATTAGCAGAAGAACTCTGCTAATTATCGCTTATCTGTGTTCTTGAAACCATCATCATTACGATGGTCATGCTCCACCTTGTTTAATGTAGGTAAAATGATCGAAGGAGAATTCACTGAAATATGGTGCTTACTTCATACCAGTAGAGTTTCGTAGATACTTTGTTCAACAACTCGTAATTAGAAATGCATTCTGAGCAAGTAGTCTTCTTGCACTTGTTGCAAAAGCTCGATGAGACCAAAAGCATCAGAAGGATCAGAGCCTTCATTTTATTGTCGGAAACCTGAAAAAGAGAATCCACTAAGCTTACCAAGGCAAACCTTACTATTCAAACACAATGTTAGAGAATGTTGAAACGGGCAGCGGGCAGCGCGGTAGGCAAGGCCTTAGCGCCATTGCCGCGCACTTTTGGGTCGCGATAGTGTCGCGCCCTCAGTGCTTGGGGAGCCCACTATCGCACCCTGGGAAGAACTTCTGCTGGTTGCCTAATCCTGACTCGTGGCTTTAATATACAGAGTGGGCAAAAATTACGGTAACAAGAGGTTGCTGCTGTCAATTTCCAATTTCAAACACCAGGAGTTTCTGATGTATATCCTATGCATTTGTTTTGATAGTTCAGTGTTCCTTTTTGATTTCGTCACATAAAATATATCCATTCTGGGATGAACAATCTTTTAACTCTTGAGAAACAATCACTACTTCGCTCCGACGAACTGTTTGATTTGTTGCACTGCATGAGGGTTCAGAAGCTCTTTGAAACCTTCATCGGCCACCATTACGAAATTAAATAGGCTAGTTACCAGCACCAATAGACCTGGGACGATAGTAAATTACCCTTAATTCGCAGTTAAAGGTGGTGATCGAAGGCCCTTGCATAGAATAAAGAATAAGACAATCGCGAATCGATCTTAAATCAAACGCGAGCTTCCTACTCTATTTTATGATCACAGAACAACGAAACATGAGGAAACGAACGAATATTTCAGAAAAAAAGGTCACAAAAGCATCTGTGGATTATGCGATTGCAGCTGCATTTTTAATTCCTACTTAGTGGAGCTGGTCAGAGAAAAAAAGACGTGGGAATGGGGAGACGCAGATGCCACGTTTGCCACGTTAACCCTCCAACAAAAAGTCCTTCGGAGTACTTTTTACTCGAGGGTCAACGTGGCGTCTGCGTCTCCTCAACCACGTGCTCCTTTTTTTCTCTGCTTAATTCCGAATTAGCTTTACAGGTTATCTCTCTAATTCGTAATTAAAGTCGATTTTTCGATAATGATCTAGCTATAAGCTAATCAAGAGTTAATGTGTTGGAGGCGCTTCAGACCTGTTACCTAACCATGACTTTTGTTTGAGCTAATCTCAACACGTTAACTCTGAATTGAGGGAGGTTTACTACCGTCCTTGAACTTCAGAGGGTTGTTTCTGCGACTTCAAGAGCACCCCTTCCAAAGTATTGTTCGCACACGTCTCCACAAAAAGGATTACAATCATGAAAATGCCTAACATACAACCGATTTGAGAAAATTGAATAGAAAGCTAAAAGATGCTACAAGTCACTGTCCGGATTCCGTCATGAGCTTTATTTATCGATCGTTTCCCTTATGGTTAGTGGTAAGATAGTCTGCTGCCTGGCCACTCTGGAATAAAAAGGGCATCTGGACCAATGCTAGTAAAAAGCCATTCTGCCACTCAGTGATGGTTTTGGCAGAATTCCAAGAGCAGAAATCACGATTCGAAGACACATCGGACCTCTGCTGCTCAAAATATAAAACTGGATAGTAAAAATAATCTCAAACTCCTTCTGTCTCGGTTGATGCTTCATACCGTAAGGACCTTCAATGGAAAACATAGGGTAACAGAGCAATATTGGGCGTCCACCTATAATTCAAAGATTTGAAGAATTCAGAGATCTTGTCCAAAAATCGACGCAATCCGATTATCGTGGAATTCATCATACTGGAGAAGTGGTACCATAGCTCTCCCAATGCAAGTTCTACCACGTGTTCTGCATTGAGTGTGCCGAAGGCAAAGCATTCCTATAAGCATAACAGAAGCATCCTCTGGTCGAGCAGTCGCTCTGAAAGCCTTGGACCTTGTTCACCACACCGACCTACACAACAGGATAAGTGACTTTGTAAAAATCTTCGTTTTTCAACGCAGAAAGCGGTCACTTCAAAGTGCAGTACTGTATTCTGTTTGATAATCATCCACCAACATGATGGTGATATTAATTTGGGACCTCTCGACCACACCGCTTTTTTATTACCGTTTTATGTTGTCGAACATAAATCCGGTTGCTCCTTTCAGTGAAGCTGAGCATTAATCGACAAACGTTTGATTCAAGCACGATAGCATAACTTTGGATGCATTGCTGACGTCAGCATATTCCTTCCAGGTAAATTACCTTGCAAGGGTGAAGAGCGCAGTGCAAGAGTTTGCTGCAGTGGCACAGCGTAGCAGCACTGCGATCCAGTGTAAGTAGGTGGTACTGGAAAATCGTGAGCTTATGAGTGTTATCAGCAATTTCACACTCGAGAGAGCCGTTCTAACAAGCTCTGGTAATGTCTAATGCACGGTCCATTGCCCGAGAAGGAGCCAACTGTCGAAGACACGGAGAGAAGCTGTGAGTGTCGTAGATTATAGGCACATCATGTAGGATCATTAGTCACACTTGATAGAGATCACGTCATAGTGCGCACAATCTTTGACGATTTCTATACAACTTAAACTCACTTGATAGCCAGCCGTCACTGGAGAGAAGGACGATTAAATGAGTCGTACCACACTCCACTGATACTGAACTATTATTATCAGTCAGAGGTTTGTGTTCCACATACTCCTTCAAGATATGAGTCAATAGTCATTCGACCGTGTGAAGTCGTCTTGAGCGGTCGTGTCGGCCATCGTTCTGATATTGATTATTTTGGCTACTCGGCAGTGGACTGCTGTACTTTCTAAGGATTTCTGGCTGTGATTTAGCACTGCCTTACGTATATTCAATTATCTGTGTAACTGTGTCCGGCCGACTCTCTGTGCTCCAGTTGCTACTCTAGCGTATTTTGTCAAAATTTCGTCAAAGTTCATTTGCTGCTACTACTGTCCAATCGAGATTCCTTGTGGCGGGGATCGTACCAACTGAACTCAAGCCACCCGCACAGGTGTATTGTTACAATTTTCTTAGTTCAATTTTCGTTTCATCAGTTTCACCTACCCTATTGGGTCAAGTCTAGCTGGATCAAAAACTAGATTCTCGGCGTTTCCACATTGATCAGCCCGATCGATTTGCGATGGATACTCCGCTAAGATCTTCATCTCTTCCAGCATTCAAGAGACGACATGTCGAAGTTTACTCACCGGAAAAGGAGGATAAGCTCATAAATCTTATCAACTCGGAAGACAGTTTGCCGGCCCATATCAGAATTATTTTGGAGGTCCTTAAAGATACCAGAGATCAATTGATCACGATCAATCAATGGTGCGGTCGATTATCTGATGAAAATGAAAAACTTAAAGCTGAGAATTGTGAGCTCAAAAAACTTTTAGAATCTAAAGAATCATCTTATACCAAAGACATCTCTCCATCTTCCCCTTCTTTTCCCCAAGTGAATGACTCCGTTGCTGCAGAACGCGAACTTGAACGAACTCGTTCTGTTGTTATCCATGGAATTCCAGAATTTTCTTCTCCTATGCCAGTCAATAGGGCTTTCGCTGACTTTAATGCTGTGTTGTCTATTCTTACTCATCTCGATGTGGGGTGCATTCCATGTAATGTATATCGTCTCGGTAGACCTGATAACAAACGCCCCCGGCTTGTGAAAGTGGTATTCCATACTTCGAATTTTCAACGTATTGTGCTTAAGCGTGCTTCCCTAATGCGCTCCTTCTTTTATCAAGGGGTTTACATCCGCCCCTCACGCAGTAAAGAAGAGAGAGCGCGCATTCGGAAAGAACAAGCGACGGCCAAAGGTAATTCAGAACAATCACAGCCTGTTACTGTTGATGGCGACACTGTTCAGATTGTTTCTCCTACCTCGTTTGGTAATAATTCAAAAAACGTTCAAGTCATCCTCGGTCTTTCGTTGCTTCGTTGAAATGTTTGTGTTCGAATGTTCGTTCTTTGTTAAAAAATGCTGACAGTTTCACGGCTTACCTCTGTAAGGAGAATTGTGACATGGCCATTTTTTCTGAAACGTGGTTCAATACTAAGCATGAGGTATCCTCGTTATTAAGTATTGCTGCTTCTCAATATAACTGCTTTCGATCTGACAGGAAATTTCAAAAAAGGAGGGGGCGTTGCCATTTTAGTCAGACCTCAACATTCAACAGAGGTTGTTCTCTGTGAATCTGTGAAAAATTTTGGCTTACGATATATTCTTTTATGGCGATGAAATTCAAGTAATTGCTGTATACAGAGCTCCTAGCTGTTCCTCTGTATACAGCGACCAGCTTCTTAAGGCACTTAGTGATTTGAGCTCTCAACACAAAGCTTGTATTATTGCTGGGGATTTCAACCTACCGCAAATTACGTGGAGCCCTGAAAATAAGAGTAATGATGTTTTAGGAACTTTTAGGAACTAAATTCATTGATTACTTTGCCACTCACGGCTTCGTCCAGTGTGTCCCTTTTCCCACTAGGAATAATGCGTACTTGATTTGATATTATGCAATCGCCAGGATCTAGTAGCTTCAACCTGTAAGCGGCCTCCAATTGGTGGTAGTGATCATGCCGCAATAAAGTTTTCTTTATCTTTATCGAAACAGCTCCCGACTGTAAGATGGTGCAGGGACTATGTATAACCCTGATTTTAGTGCTTTCCGTAAATACCTAAATGATGTGGATTGGTTTGGTTTTTTAACACGGTGAATGGAGTTGATGCCAAGTATGAGATATTTCTAGCAGTCTTGCATCATGCCATGGATCTTTTCATTCCTTATAAAAGACACTCTCGGCCGGTGTCTAAACTTCCTCCATACCTCTCTTCTATGTCTAGAAGAAGGGATCATCTCTGGAATTCAGCTATAGATTCTCAGTCATCAGCGGATTGGCAAAGGTATCAGTTATTCGATAAAAGGTACACAAATAAATTGAACAAGTATTACACTTATGTTGAGAAGAAACTATTATCTAAAGGTGGTGTTAAAGCTTTTTATTCAATCCTCAATTCAAGACTCTCCAGCCAACCTTGTGTTGGTACTTTATCCGATAATTCTAGAAGGGCAATAACTAATCAAAGTAAATCTGAATTATTAGCTGATGCCTTTGTGAAGACATTTGTTTCTCCTCATCCTACAAAATTAACTTTACCGAATTCGAAATTTGTGTCCTCTGATCCAGCCCCTTGGTTTTATAAAGAGGATATAGCAGATATGTTGCTCGATTGGTCATCGTCTGCCGCTACGAATCCAGATGATCTCCCATATCTGGTTGTGAAGCATTGCATCCATGAAATCACTGGTCCCCTCGAGTTTCTTTTCAATCTAAGTCTCATGAGATCTGAAATTCCTCGCAGGTGGAAGCATGCCATAGTTATTCCTCTCCTCAAGAAAGAGCCATATTCAAACCCTGATAATTACAGGCCCATAAGTCTGACCTCAATATTTGCCAGGGTATTTGAAAAGCTTCTTAAGAGATACTTACTTTCTCATCTTGAAAAATATGATATCATTCCTAGTTCATTGCACGGTTTTTGTAAGGGAAGGTCTATTGAAACTTCACTTCTTGATTGTTTCAGTGACTGGACTACATCTTTTGATCGAGGTAGAAATGTGGATGTTGTTTATTTTGATTTTCAAAAAGCATTTGATAAAGTACATCATGGCTTATTGATCCAAAAAATGGAATATTATGGCTTTCACCCTCTTGTCATAAGTTGGATCAAAGAATTCTTACGTAACAGAACGTTTCAAGTCTTGGTTAAAGATTCTTTGTCATCGGTTCGTATGATTAAATCAGGGGTACCTCAGGGTGGGGTCTTATCTCCGGTTTTATTTAACATTTATACTGCTTTTAACATTTATACTGCTGAATTCCCATGCATCTTCAAGGATCTTGGCATTACGTGCAATCTTTATGCAGATGATATCAAAATTTATAAAGAGACTTGTGAAGACGGTGCTGATATTCATCTTCAAACGGCTATTGATAAGGTATTCGAATG